TGGTTGGCAAACTGTTAACCTATTTGGAGATTCCATATTCCAAAGCTGTAATACTCTGGGCCTGGGATGAGCTTAAACATACCTTTGTATTATAAAGGAAACAATTTGCTAGAGAAATTAATGGTATAAATAAGATTACAAGTGTTTGTTTTCAAGCACTTTAGAAGTATTCATTTACATAAAAATTATTACCATGCTAATAAGTCCCAAAGGAATTCTGTTCAGCAATGCTTCACTAGCCTGGTGCAAATTCTTTATGAGATCCAAAGATCCCTTTTTTTAAGTGAAAGGAATCATAAATAATAATAATAATAATCCTCATTTTTCAATGATAAAAATTGAGGTCACAGAATTTAAGTGACTTGCCCAACATCACATGAGTGAATAACAGAATTAGTACTAGAAAGTGGGTATCCTCTCAGTCCAATGGTCTTTCTATAAATTAAACCACTTTGCTTCCCTTTCTTGCCTATTGTTCATTAAAAAGAAAGAAGGAAAGAAAGAAAAAAAGGGAAGAAAGAAAGGAAGGAAGGAAGGAAGGAAGAAAAAAATCATGATTTCATCAATGCAGGTAACTCTATTATGGCAGATAAAAAATGTTTTCTTTTTTTTTCCCCCATCCTGTAGAATTCTTGTCCATGGCCCTCCACACATTGTCCACAGTTGATCCTTCCAATGTGCCAGTGGCTTTCCTCTAATTTTTTTTTAAAAAACATTTCATAGGTTTCAGTGGAGCTGATCACCAGATGATGAGATGACTTCTTTTTCTAATCATAATCTAATTTCCTCATTGCCTTTTTTGCCACGTTAGTATAGGATATGATTGAAAATATGTTGTAGCCTGCATGCTTCTCCCTAATAATAATAATAGGTATTACATGCCATGGCACTGTGCTAGACACTTTACAAATATTATATTATTTGTTCCTCACAATAATTGTGGGAGGTAGGCATTATTATTATTCCTATTCCACTGACAAGGAAACTGAGGCAAACAGAGGTTAAGTGATTTGCCCATGGTCACACAGCTTGTGAGTGTCTGATGCAGGATTTGAACTTAGGTCTTCCTAACTCAAGGCTCAGTGCTCTAACCACTGTGCATCTAGCTGTCTCTTACAACTAAACCATCTTTCCATTGTTGCTTGTTTCACCCACAATTTTGATTCCTTAGGGATTTTACTTGTCCAAGATTTGTAAACACAAAGCATCACAAGGAAAAAAAATGCTGAAAATATGTACCAGAAAACAGCTTGAGACAGTTAAAATCACTGCACTGTTTTCTAAACCATTAAATTCATATACCACAACTTGTTTAGACATTCCCCAATTAAAGGTCATCCAATTTGTTTCCAGTTCTTTGCTACTATAAAAAGTGCTGCTATAAATATTTAGATATATATGAGGCTTTTCTTTTTATGTCTGAACTTCTTGAGGTATATGCCTTAGCAGTGAAATCTCTGGATTAAAAATATGGACATTTTAGTCATTTTTTTCTCATAATTTCAAATTGCTTGACCAATTCACAGTGCCAATAGAGCATGTCCTCATCTTTATACAACCTCTTCAACACTGACCAGTGCCATCTTGTGTAATCTTTGCCAATTTGTTGGCTTGTAGTCTCAAAGAGATAGCTAGGTGGCACAGTGGATAGAGCACTGGGAGTCAGGAAGTTCTGAGTTCAAATTCGGCTTCAGATACCTATTAGCTGTGTGACCCTGGGCAAGTCACTTAACCTTTGCTTGCCTTAATCCACTGGAGAAGGAAATGGTAAAGCACTCCAGCATCTTTGCCAAGAAAACCTCATGGACAGCCTGGTCCATGGAGTCACAAAGAGTTAGACATGACTGAACAAGGTCAAACCTCAGGACTGACTGGTATTAGCTGTGATTTGGAACATGCTTTCATATGTTCATTAGTAGTCTGCAATTCTTCTGAGAACTGTTTCTTTGACCACTTATCAATTGAGGAATTCCTTTTTCATATGCTTCTGATATTGCCAATATATGACATGTTTTTAGTAATCATTAATCTAATGAAGGAGGCTCAGTAATATTCTGGGAATTGATTAAATTACAATGTAAGCTACCAGCAGGAACACCATCATCTACAAGGAACTCTTTTCCATTTAGTTCCTATGAAAGATATTCTCCATGACAATGACAAATTGCTTTAGGCAAGCATACATTTTTTGTTTTGTCTTGCTTGACCTCAATAATCAGAGGATCATAAAACAAAGTTATCTAGGTGACTGAATCATAAAGGAATCTTTTCTATGCTTAGCATATAATTGAGAGACTCATTGCTAGAAGAGACCCTTTAAGGCTGAATTTTGCTTTAGTAGACCAAAGGCTTTTTTGATTGCTTACTTTCTGAAATCAATAATAAACAGCAGGTTCTTGTAGTCTAAGGACATTTTAGTCAAATGTGTGACTTTAGAGATATGGTTGGTTACAGAGAATCATTTGTTAAAGATTGCATGTTCCCTGCTCATATCTTCATCAAAGATACGTTCAACATGCATGTAGATAATTCTAGTAAAGATGTTATAAAAACGAAAAAAGCATGAGATGGTAATTACTTATGTTCTCATGATCATGTTATCTTTTTTCCTTTACACATATGTATGGTTATATAGACATATTCACACATATCTTTTAACGTGATCACCTCAAGAGTTTCAAGACTGTGTCTCTTGCAGCATAGATTTTCTTAGTATGTCCAGCCACTCTTCCCCATTTTAATCTTTCTAGTGGCATTTCTATTTCTTTGAATAGCACACTGGGAACTGGGATATAGGGACCCAAATACAATGGTTCCTCTGTTGCTCCTGATGAAAATTGATTACTGAAGAAACACTGTCATTTTTTAAAAATTACATTCTATTTGTTATTTAGCCCTGTTTCATGCATCAAAGCTTTCTCTAGACTACTCTGCTGCTTTAAAAGGCAATACTACTTGTAATCTCTCCAATTTTCCTCTGCAGTGTTTACAAATTATTTTGTATTTTAAATCTTTGTTGCCCTTGGATACCATCTACTTGGTAAGATCAAGTATCTCCTGGCTACCACATATTCTGGGCTCTTTTGGACTCCTTCCTCCTTGTAGTATTTGTTTTATATTGGTTAAACTTTAGAAAGAAATGATGATGATCAATATCCTTGTCTTTTTAAGTTTCCTATTTTTTTAGCCTTAGTAGCTTATTTATATAGATCATGTTGAAGCTGTTGTAGTTCTTCTTACTATTATTTCTTACTTTTTATTTTGAGGTTAATTTTGGCCTCACTCCCCCTTAGTAGATAGCCTGTCCACAGTTATTCTGATATGATTTCCATAAGAGTATCAACCTATTTACTTCTGTTAGAATATGCTCAAATTCATATTTTGTAGTGATGGAAGATATTAATCATGTTTATTTAACACCTTCCAACTCTCTTTTGTGTGTACATTTATATACAAATATAGCATTCATTATATATAAATAACATACATATTTATATAAAAATAAATATGAATGAATAAAGCATTCATTATATATAGGTGATGCTCCTCAGTGTCTAAAAGCTTTTTTTTAAAAACATTTTTCCCCACCTTTCTGCACACTTCATGTTACAGTTATCTAATTTGTAGAACCTTGTCAAGTTTTTCACAGAATTCCTCTACCTCTTCATTCTTCACAACAGATGTTGGTAAATAAGTTACAATTATCTTCATATTGTCTTTTCACAAATAAAAACTGATCTTTTTTGTTGCCTTTGGGTGAAGGCTGAAACTAATTCTGCCAACTTCTTCTTTTTTTTTTTTTTTGTAACTTTAAAGAAAGCCCGTGAGCCACAATTCTACTTGGCCATAATTTCCTTCTCTCTTCTTATGACTAGCTCCTTCTAAACAGGAGTTGCTTCCTTAGCTGATGGCTGTGAGGGCTGTCTAGAAGCAAGACTGTTGGTCTGAGGAATGTTGCCACTCCCAGGGCTCTTTTTTCTACTTGTCTATTGATGACAAATGGTCAGCAGTGGTTGCTGGTGGTGATTAGGAAGGTGGGTCCCTTTTTTATAGTGACCTCTCCTCTACCTGACTCTACCTATAATTGTGGTTTCTGTTTTCTTTGGTTTGCCATTGGAGCCATTTTGACTCATGTAGTGACTCAGGGCTTGCCATTGTTGGAGGTAATAGATAAACTTTCCTAATAGACAAGGAATCATTGCTGCCTACTTCTTCATTCTTCCTCTTAACACTAGAAAGAGCACAGGATATTAAGTCAAAGGATCTAGGTCTGTACCACCACTGTATTATCAACATGCCTGCTGCTTGCTTGTTCTCAACTGCCACAGACTCTCTAACCCATCAGTGTCACTGTGGAAGTGAAAGAGAACTAAGAACTACGCATATTTTATTTTTCTTTGTTGCATGAGTTTCCATGGCCAAAGAATTCATTACCCAGTAGTCAATCAACTATTTCATGGGAGTAAAATTACATTTGAAGAATAACTCTGAAATTTGGACTTTTCACTGTATCAGAAAGGCATCCCCTTCATTTAGCCCAAATAAATGAAGTTTTATATCATGGAATATATAGCTGCTCCAAAAAATACTCAGGTTACCCAAGACACTAAAAGATAGAGTTTGCTTGTTTTCCATTTACAGTCATCATCTTCCTTAACCCATTATCTTAGGAAGCATATTGTTAATTGTAAATTGGCTAGTCAGAGAATTTCCCATGCATATTAAATTCTCATGCTACTAATTTTCAAGCTCCCTCAACAGAATCAGTGAACAGTTTCACAGAATAAACATGAAGCTGAAAATGATAAAAAATAAATAAGGAAATTATATAGGTTTGGGGAACCATTTCTTATAGGGGAAGCCTATAATAAGTATAAGAAGTATAAAAGGTCATCCAGAATTTCAAAAAATTTTCTGTCTTTAATCTCTACAAAGTGGTCAAAATAAAAAAAATCACTACTCTAGCATATTTCTTACAGGGTGACATGCAACTTTCTTACCTTAATGAGGTCTTCCCTGGAGGAAAAATGTGAAACTAAGTAATTTTCTCTGGTTTTTGTGTTAGTGATAGATACATAAAGTCGATTCTCTGCTATCTCATGAGCGTTAGAAGGAAGAATGGTCTCCATGCCTTCTCTAAAGAAGAGAAAATGATAAGCATTATTCATCTTTAATTATTGAACACCTTGTAAATATTTTAAAAAGAGAGAGTGCTGAGTATGCTATAGTTTGTACAGAAAGCATTCAATACTTTGTCTTCATATACTCTTAGTTTTACATAAGACACAATATACAGGAAATATAAATAAGTACCTTAAACGTGCCATAAAATCATAACCAGGTGTTATGGCACCCAAGTACTGCTTTCTAATTTCTTCAGCAAATTTGTATGTAAATTCATTACATTCCTGAAAAATAAGATATTCACTAGAATTAAACAAAATCTTAACCACACATCATTTTGGGGAAAGTGTTTGTCAACCAAGTATTAAATATATCAAGGACTTAATTTGCCCTGCAATTAAAAGATAACTGGTGTCAGCTGCTTCTGGCTCAATTATACATGCATAAAATGTGAATTCATTAATTTTTCATGGCAATGAAAATATTTGGGTGTGCATATATCAATTGGAAACTGATCTGACAAGGAATTATAGAAACATAATATAGCTAATGAGATGAATACCAATCCTTTAAGTGGGACTTTTTTATGCAATAAATATTTCATGGCCAATTGGCAAAAGGTATCTTTGTAAATAAGGAGGAGAAAGTAGTTCTAAATATGATACAAGAAGACAGAAATCATGAAAGTCAATCTAAGTTCACAGGCTCACAGATCTAGACTTGGAAGAGACCTCAAAAGTCATCTACAGAGTCCAATCCCTTCATTTTACAGATTAGGAAACTCTGTCCTAAGGAGGCTAAGTAACTTATCCAAGGTGACACAGGTGGAAAAGAATAGAGGCGGGATTCTAATGTAATTCAATAAGTACTTACTAAGCACTTACTATCTATGGGACCAGGCACTAGGCTGGGTTCTAAAGACACAAAGTAAAACCAAAACAGTCCACTATGCCTTCAAAGAGCTTATTGGTCTATTAAGAGAAAAGATCCTTTACCTAAAAAGTGAAATACAAAATAAAGACCCAATAAAAATTTTTGAAGGGTGGGGGATGGGCCAGGACTAGCAAACAGTAAAGTAGAAAAGTTTCTTATATTACAGCTGGCATTTTAATTAAGCTTTGAAAAAATCCAGGGAATCTCTGAGGCTGACTTCAGGAGAAAGTGCATTCCAGGCAAAAGGGACACCCTGTAAAAAGGCATGGAGACGGGAACAAGGAATATGGTGTACAAATTACCCCAGGCAGACGACATTGCCCCTACATAATTATCTTGAACTTTACAGGACAGTCCATGACATTAGTTAATTCAGTGTTAGGTGATTGCAATAGTTAGGTAATTGCAAAAAGAAAAAAAAAGTCAGTATAACTAGTTGCTCTAATGAATTCTGAATGTCCTAGTTATTTGATGAAACTAACTAGTCAACAGGGATGCTACAATAACGCCAGTTTCAGACAAAATATTTCATTTTCTAAATCTGTGTATAAACTGCTTATGATATAAACAGGACACTACTACATGTCAATGATGTAGCATACGAGCAAGCTTTTTATTTGTATGACAAATCAGGGGAAAGAAGGAAGCATCCCTATACTAACAAATTAAAATTAACGTGTCAGAGAGTGATGGTAGTTACAGGTCAGTTGTAGGGTAGTTGTTGAAAATGATTAATTTGACTATAATAATTAGGAGAGATCAGAGGTTCACAGATCTAGAGATGGAAGGGAGCTCAATGGCCATCTAATCCAAACTCCCCGTTTGACAGATGAAGAGAGTAAGACCCAAGAGGATAAGTGACTCGCTGAAGGTCATACAGCTATTAAGTATTAGAGCCAGGAGTGGAACCCAGGTCCTCTCCATATACCATGCTCCTTCTAGTTACTTAAGATGTAGAAGGAAGAGGCAGGAATTAATGACTTCACCTGTCTATCAGGCAGCTTAGACGTTATAAAACCTTTACCAGTGGCAAGTCCTGAGTCACTACATTTGTCAAAATGGCCCCAGTGGTAAACCAAAGAAAACAGAAGCCACAGTTACAAGTAGAGTCAGATAGAAGGGGTCCATCTTCTTCATCAGCACCAGCTACAACCATTGGTTAACTGCCATCAATAGACAGATAAGCACAAGAGTCCTGGGAGGTCCTTCAGACCACCAGTCTTGATTCCAACCAGTCCTCACAGTCATTTGGGTAAGCAGTTCTTTTGGAGAAGGGGCCAGCAATCCCCACCAGCTGGCCAACAACTCCTACTCACAGAACAGGCAAGCCAGCCTAGCTTAAGCAGCAAGGCACCCTGAGTGAGAAACTGTAGGCAGCATGTGCCAGGCAAGTCAAACCACTACCATCTCTACCTGCACTATCAGCTGAAGACCCCAAACTCAATCTTCTGTGGAGATGCAGTCTGACATTCATTCTTACAAGCACTACGGTCAGTTACTGAAGACCCAGAAAAGAAAGATCTTGCCACCAAAGTCCGTGGCACTGTCAAATAGTTCAACATCAAAAATACTATGATTTTTATCAGGGGAAATAACATTAAAGAAGCATTAATATCTGTTTTATCACTGCAATCTTTCATGTGTTTTCTTCCCCATTAGATTTTTGTTTTTGTTTTTTTGGCTAGGCAATGGGGTTAAGTGACTTGCCCTGGGTCACACAGCTAGTGTTATGTGTCTGAGACCAGATTTGAACTTGGGTCCTCCTGAATCCAGGGCCAGTGCTCTATCCACTGTGCCACCTAGCTGCCCTCTTTCTCCCCCATGAGAACATGAGTTCCTTGAAAGCAGGAACTATGTTGCTTTTTTATTTGTATCCCCATTGCTTAGTACAGTGGTCTCCACAGAGTAAACACTTCATTTATACATTCATTCATTCAGGCAGCTTGACATAGTGGCTACTGAGCTGGCCTGGGAGTCATAAAGACCTAGATTCAAATCTCTTCTCTGGCATATATTGGCCAAGTGACTCTTAAGCTCTCAAGGCACTATTTTAAGATTTTAAGTTATAGAACAACTAGTTATCTACTTGGATAAAAGGAGTTTTCTCATAAGGACTTCTCTACAAAAATGAAATCATAGGTTCCTTTCCCTCCTCCCTTTGCCCCACCAAGAAAAAAAAAAGTATATGTACGTACTTAATACTCTAGTAGATGCAGTGAAGAATATAAAAGATGGCAGTAGGGAGGCTGCTCTCGAGGGTCTTTACATATTTACCTTGCTGTGTGACACAGAAGTAAAATCCTAACCAACCCATCTGAGAAATGTTGTTCCAGAGTGCACAAAATTGTCATAGGATCATAGATTTAGGGCTAAAAGGGATCTCAAGGGTCAACTGATGAGGACATAGAGGCCCTGATAGGTTAAATCATTTTTCCAAGGTCATAAAGGTGGCAGAGCTGGAATTCAAATCTATGTCCCTTAGTTCCAAATCTAGCACTGCTTCCATTGTATCATGCTGCTAATAGTCTAAGAGTAGCATCTCCAACTATCTAACTTGGATTATTTCTACAATACAGTAAAAACAAAATGGAAGGGGAAGCTCCTGGTACTTGAGAACTTCTGTTTCCGCTACATTATTCACAGAAGCTCCTTTGCTCTGCTGTTATAATTTCTAGTTTTATTTTTCATAACTATTCAATATTATGGGGAAGAGAGGATATGTTTTGGGGCAAAGGATATAATGGCTTTAAAATGCTAGCTTCCAATGTTTCCTACTAAATAAGTTCCTGTAAGTACGAGACTGGGCTTTGTAACTGGTATTTATGTAAAGCTTTAAGGCATGCAAAGTCTTTTACATACATTACCTAATCCAGAGTTTGTATGTTGCCCAGGTATCTATGATAGCACCAAGAGAACACACTTAATAAGTTTTTTTTAATCATCATTGATTTGAATGGAAAACTGAATTCCTATTCATTGTCTATTTTAAAAGATAATACCCTCTTTTTACTGTTTAGGATATTAGTTATGACCAGATAAATGCACTAATATTTGGCTAAATAGTGGTGAAAATAACCCTAAAAAGAAGACAGGTGACAATTTTCTTTACATAGGGGACAGGGGAAAGGTGTAAAGAGGATGAAAGAAAAACAGTAACAAGAACCTAGGGAATTATATCTATAAATCAGATAACAGAACTGAACTGAAAATATTTAGGTTGCATCAAATACAAGATTATTTGACTCTCTGTCACTGGATCCAAAGTCAGGAATTTTGTCTTCATATTTGAAAGTGGAAATTTTTTTTTTTAAGACAAAAGACATATAGAGGTTGCTCAATTTATTATGCTTTTAAAAACATCTATGTATCTATATGTATGCTTATTAAAGAAATTTCCTTTGAGAAAAAAGCAGAGCTAGGATCCAAGAATAAACTAGAATAAAATATTTCCTTCCCCTCAGCTTCTTCCCAATGTAATCATCTTAAAAAAAAAAAAAAAGTAGTGTAGAGCGGAAAGGGAAAGGCACAGATTTCAAATGACTCAATTTTAGGCTTTTAATATTTTTTATTTCTCTACCAAGCCTATTTTTCAAATCTAACATTTTGGTGAAGCTAAAAGTAAGCCTTGATATTTTGTCCTAATTTCTCCACGAGGCACATATTTTAGTTACTACCTTTACCTCTATTTTTCCTGGTGCAGTTAACAGAACAGTTGCAACCAAAGATCCTGCAGAAGCTCCAGCAAAGGCCTTTACAACCTTTAGTAACTGTTTGCCGTGTTTGCAAAGTGCAGATGCTGCCCCCAAGTGGTATATTCCCAGAAATCCACAAGCTGCAAAGGACAGGTTGATATGCTTCATTCTTGCTGCGAAATGAGACACTACAGTCAGAAAAAAGTTCTCCAAGATACTGCAAACAGGTATCGTTTATGTTGTTTTTAATGGTTTATTGTTCATATAAATTTGAAATCAGAAATATTTTCACCAAAACATTTTTTGAAATATAATCCACTGTTCCAAAAACAGGGCCTTCAACTCATTCTAGCTCAGTATCTGAATTACCTTTAACAAAAAAAAAAAGCAACTTTAATAAAAGATATGGCTATACTTAACTCAGTATTTGTTCAATAGATTCTGCCCACCTCTTTCCTTCCATCTTTTTTTTTTTAAACACTTTTACCACCTCAGACACACTATCTAGTGTTTTCCTGACCTTTAAAAGAATTGGAAGCCTTTGTAACACTTTTACTAAAAATTAAGTAGTGTAAAATTAACAGTGATTATACCGAGTTACAATTGAGACCCATATTCCCTTTACACATACAACACTGAACCTAAATATATTAATTACCTTTGGGGTTTTTTCCTAACTCATCATTAGAATTCAAATTTAAATGCTGCCACAAATACCCAATAATTTACTGAGCCTCATATAAAATAAAAACACAGATCACACAACCTTCACAAAAAAAAAATCCAAATATATCTAACCTCATATCTAATTATCAGCATTTCACTGTCAAATATATTCCCTCAAGACACTTAGGCTGAAGTCATCATTTGACAGACCATTAAAGACTAAATGAATCTGTCCACCACACCTAGAAATTCTCGTGCCTTTCAAAGTATACTTTGAACAAGCCACTTTAAAAACCTCTCTAGCCTTCGTGTACAGAACTTTTGCCCTTGATCTACAGCCTTTCTCTCTCCTCCAAAGCCCTCCTTGGTCTGCTTTCTTATGAAACTGAATGGGCCTCATTAATGGGGTGGGGAGCAGCACAATAGGGCCAATGTGGCCCCGAGCTCCATTTTCTGTAAGACTCTGTAACAGAGGCCTCATTCACTGCCCTGGGGAGGAAGATGGATTGGCCCAAGGGCTGCCACAGAAATAAACTTTAAAAATTGGAGTTATCTTCTTCGTAATGGATCTCACTTCATTACACAGCACCCTGACATCAATTTCTAATTCTTTTTAAAAAAATGTTATTCGTTATGGTAGGATGGAAGGTTCATCCCCGAGAAAACTGCTTTTAAACTGACCAAGAGCCCTTCCCCCAGAACCCCTCAATGTGGGGGGCATGATTCTATTCAGCTGAGCCCCATTTTGGGTGTTTTTTAAAGGGGGGGTCGGCTGAAGGTCAAATGCGGCCTTTAAACCTCCGCGGGGTACCGCCCCGCCGCCCCCGCCGCGGGGAGACGCGTGAGAAGGAAGCCAGAGAGGCGGAAGGCCGAGCCTCGGGGCGCTGTCCCCGGGGGACCCCGGTCAGATGGGAGGCTGGGGCGGTTCTGACTGAGCGGCACCTTCTACCTACACCTCGGCCGCCGTTTCACCTCCCTCTTCTCCATCATACCAATCCTGGCCTGGGACACATCCATGCTGAATTATCCCCCCCTTGACACAACATAAATGGGGCCGCCCGGTCACTCCACTCCCGCCCTCTTGGTCGCGCCTCTGCCACGACCGGGCGGGCTCCGGGGACGCGCGCGCTCGGCCCTCCGCCGGCAGCGTTCTCTTTCCAGAACTTCAGCGGCCTAGGGCTGGGGGAGGCGAAGCCAGCTAGGAGAAAGGGGCGGCGGAAAGGGAAAGCACCGGAAGCTCAGGGAGGGAGTAACAGCCGTCAGGCCCCGCCCCCTGCTATGGCGGCTTGTGACGTCATCGCGCCCCTGCTGACGTCGCTCGGGGCCCCAAGGCCTAAATCAAAACGTCTTATTTTTAAAAAGTAAAACTAATCCTGAGAAGGTGAAATTAACCTGGGGAGGGGGATACAAGGAGCGGGGTGAAAGAGAAGCTTTGCGCTAGTGCGGATGGCAGCCGCCTAGAATTTGGAGCGCGCACGAGCTGCTGCGCATGCGCGAGACATTTCTTTTCCAAATGATACCTGTGTTTCAGGTGCTGACGGTATGGTTTGGTTTGGTTTCTCTTTTTAATTCCCGTGAATGTTTGGCAACCAAGACTTTCAGTACGTCTTACCCTGCAGTACTCTCCGTTATACCCCAACTCTGTTGGTCTGTAGACGCATAAAACGAACGTGCCGGTTTGTGCATGTGCTTTAGTATGTGCGTCAGGCAGCGGGGCTTCCTGGAAGGACTCAGTAGCTTTAACGGGGTCTCCTGCTCTCCTCCATCCCTGCACCGCGCTGCTCTCTCTGTCTGCCCTGCTTCCTCTCCTCTCCTCTCCTCTCCTCTCCTCTCCTCACCCCTCCCACCCAGTGGAAATTAGGGCTTCTTGCATTTCTGCGGGGGCTCTTCCTCCCACCGCGCCGGGCAGAGTAGGCAGGGGGAGAAGGGGGGAGAGCAAGAAGCGCAGCATCTTTTGGTGTCACGACTCTAGCTTCCAGGGATCAGGTGCTCATTGGTTCCTCCCCGCCTCTTCAAGTCCTTCCTCAAGGTCGTAGTCGCAGCAGCAGCCCGTGAGGTCCGATGATGCTCTCTGTCCCCCCAAGGAGATTTAAAGGGTCCACATATTTCCTTCTCTGTTTCTACTCTTGAGCTTTAGGAAATCTTAATTCCCTATATTGAGGTTAAAACGCAAAGCAAAAAGGGGAAGAGGGAGGGCAAGAAAGGAAGAAAGAAAGAAGAAAAGCAAGGCCACACACACTCATCACTGTCCTAGTTTCTTTTTTCTTGACATCCTTTATTGTGACGCAAATCTTGGTATTTTGCCACTATGATTTAAGGAAATAATCTGGACATTGTGACGTTTCACACTTTGTTCCAGGAGCTGGTATTTACAAAGTTATTTACTCTTCCTTCCCCATCTTCATCTCCCCTTTTCTTCTACTATTGAGTGTTTTTTGTTTTTTGTTTTTTGACTGTGACCCGGGCTGCCCTTGCATTGCTGTCTCTAGGGCTTACTTAGGCTGTTATTAGTATGGATGAAGGCTTGGCCAACCAGGAGTTTTTGTTTTTCAGTTCAAATATAGTCTTGTTAATGAATTGCTGTTAGTCTTTGAGATGTCCTAGTGCCTATCTTGGCACTCAGCAGGACTTATGAGCCTGTTATGGAACAGTAAATCCAAACTTCAAAACATAGTGCCTTACTCAATAAAGTTTATTGTCTATGCTTAAACTAGCACTTACTCTACAAATGCTAATAACAATAACTATCCTATAGATTCCAAATTAATGTCTAAGTGGGTAAGTAGAAAAGGAAATAATACCATCCTCAACTGAGAAACATTGGAACCTAATTATCTCTACTAAAAGTCTGACTCAGAGAAAAAGGAAATGTGGAAGGTGTCCTACTCCTTGCTTAGTGGAAATAACATTGGACTTGCAGGCAGGATATCTAGTTCTAGCCTTGACCATGTGATTTTGCTAATCACATGTTCTTTGGAAAATTCAAGTTAACCTGATAGGGCCTCAGATTTCTCCTCTGTAAAATTAAGGGGCTGAATTGTATCTGTAAGGACCTTTTTGTTTCTTATTCTTTCTTACTCTTTGATTCAGTGTTTCTGGGCCTCCTGTCTCATCCTCAAAACACTTCCCTTTTAACTTCCTCTGTAACTTCAATTTAAAGCTTTTGAGTAGTATTGAAATTTCAAGCAATCTAAATTAAAAATTGCCTTGTTGGAATCTAGGAATGGCAAAAACAAAGTCTTGGAGGGAGTGGTAGCAGTAACAGCTGTTGTTGCACTCCTAGATTTTCAGCAGGTTTGCCCAGACACCAGATGGAAACCTTGATTTCTAGGCTGTCTGGACAAATACCAGACATATGGCAACCTTAATTTAACCATGAAAGAAATTATCTAAAATGATGCCTACATTTGACATTCTGACATTTTACCCATTATATTTGAGTTCTCAAGTAAAATTTTCCAAATTTAGATCATTGTGTGAAGCCTTCCCTCTCACGTATTTCTGTCTCATTAATTAAACAAAAATAATAGAATATCTTTGAAGGATCCACATTAGATCCAGATAGATAAGATATAGGTGAATTATGTGAACTGTATAAAAAGCTTGAATTGCCACTTAAGAACATTAAAAATAATAGCTGATAGTGTTTGAATAGCCCTTCAAGGTTTTACCTACAATGCTTCATTTGATCATCACACAACACCAGAAGGTAAGTACTACTGTTGTTATTCCCATTGTACAGGTGAGGAAACTGAATTTCAACAAAGTTAAGTGATTCAGATAATGTCAAAGGAGGGATCTCCTACTATAACTGTGTTGCTGTTAAAGTCTTTTTGCAGTTTGCTTTTATTTTAAGATCTTAGGTACTATGCCATTTGATATGTGTACATTTAATCTTGTTTTCTCATTGTTCATAGTGCTGTTAAGAATAGGGTAGTTTGCTTTTTGCTATTATTTTAAGCTCCAGGCTTCCTTAGAATCTCTAGAAACCTAGAAGAGACAGGCCCTGGAGACCATGACTCAACCAGGACGGGGGTTGCAGTTCTTGGGCCTCAAGGCCATGGTACATGGGCTTCAAAAGGGAAATGATCTGCTCAATGTCTGCATGGATGCTAAACACCACAAGTTACATCCTGGTCCAGAAGATGACCTTCATCTCCAGTGTAGCCCATGGAAGAAAAATGCCTGCTACACAGCAAACACAAGCATTGCTGCCCATGAAGACCCTTCCTACCTGTACCGCTTCAACTATAACCACTGTGGGAAGATGATCCCTACCTGCCAATGCCACTTCATCCAGAACTATTGTCTCTATGAGTGCTCCCCCAACCTAGAACCCTGGATCCAGCCAGTGTCCTCAAGCTGGCGGAGGGAAGGGATGCTGAATGTTCCCCTGTGCAGGGAGGACTGTAACTAGTGCCGGGAGGACTGCCAATCCTTATATACCTTTGAAGACAACTGGAACAAAGGCTGGAATTGGACTTCAGGGATTAACAAGTGCCCAGTTGAGGCTGCCTGCCATCCTTTCCCGTTTTACTTCCCAACACCAGCCTCCCTATGTGAGAACGTTTGGAGTCACTCTTCTAGTGCAAGCTCTTTTGGCTGGGGCAGTGGCAAATGTATCCAGATATGATTTAACCCAGCCCAGGGAAACCCCAATGAAGCTGTGGCTAAATCCTGTGCTTTTACCTCTGCCCCAGGCATCTTCAGTTGGAGGGCTAGTTTCCCCTTTTTGACTTTGACACTGCTGTTGCTTCTCTGGAGTTAACCCTCACCTGGCATGAAATCTAACCAATCTACATACAAAACCATAGCCAAGATTTACCCTGGCTATGGACTCCAGCTTCCTACCTGACACAGCCTGGCTGTCTTGAAACCCTGGCTTCCCAATCTGGATTCTTTCCCTTCAAACATGATCTGTCTGCTTGGAAACCTACAATCCCACATACTTTGGATTTCTCATTCCTCACCCCACTACTGAGGCAGAGGCAGGGAGGGAGTGTTTTCCTTTCTCCCTACTTTTAAGTAGTTCCAACTCTGGTCTCCTACCTCTTCCCCTGCATAGCAAAGTCCCCGCTTCTCTTCTTTAGGTATGATTTTTACCCTCTCTAAAGTAAAACCCTTTTTCACTCCTTTTAAGTAAGGATCATTTCATTGATTATATTTGTATCCCTAGTACCTGGTTCACATATAAGTAGCTACTCAATAAATGCTGATTGATAAAAAAAAAAAAAGAATAGGGTAGTTTGTATCTCTTGAGTTTATCAACTCTTATTATTGCCTTACCTGGGATCATTATTGCAACTCCTGCTCTTTTGGAGTTCACTGAAACATAATCATCCCTTGATTTTAACTCTGTACATTTTAAGTCTATCAAGCAAGTTTCTGGATTTTGTTCTCTTATCTTACATATTTTTTCTTTTTAATGAAGAATTTGATCCATATAAACATTACATTTGTATTTTGTCCACTAATTATATACACATGTACAAACATATATGTCACATGCATACATATATTTAAGCAATCAACCAATAAGCCTTTATTAAGCATCTATTATGTATCAGACACTGTGCTATGTAATGAGGATACAAATACAAGAGTGAAATGGTTTCTGCCACCAAGAAATGTAGGTTCTACTCGGTCAGGTTTTTAACTGGGGTCTGTAACTTTTTAAAAATTTGGATAGCTATTTCCATATAATTGGTTTCTTTTATAATCCTATGTATTTTATGTTGTGCATCTCAGAGCATTATAATATTCTAAAAAGGGAACTATAGGCTTCCTCAGAATGCCAAAGGGGTCCATGTCTCAAAAACATTAAGAAGCCCTGTACTAGGGGCACAATATATTCTCAGACAAATAAACATATATATAGAAAATAAATGGACAGTGATAAAGAGTGGCATGGGAGAATAAGGAGAGAACTGAGAGAAAAGTTTCTTGAAGGAGGTGACAAGTCAACTGAGCCTTCAAGTTTCTAGGAATTCCAAGAAGTAAAAGTGACAATGAAGAGAATTCCAGGTATAGGAATCAACCTATAAAAAAGGTAAAGGGATCAAATGCAGTGTCATACAGGGGGAAATAGCAAGTACCACTAGGCTAGAGTGTAGAGTAAAATATAATCAGCTTGGAAAAACAAATAGGAGCCTGACTATGAAGGCCTTCAAATGCCAAATAGGAGAGTTGGTACTATGAGGTAATTAAGTATATAAAGTACTTAAAGCAATGAACTATATCAAACTGGTTGTTCTATAGCAAACTTGAACTCAGTATGTCTGTAACTACATCAACCTTTCGTAGGCCAAGGAATAGAAGCAGGGAACTGCTTGTAGGTGGGTTCCATTTACTTTTGGGGGTCCTGATGTTAGAGAAATAAGAAGCCAGGCAAGCAGGAAGGAGGACGTGGATTCCAATGCAAATAAGAGGCACAAGATACTTGGGGCAGTTGGAAGGAAAGAGATGGAATATAAAACCACAAAGAGTAGTTACTGAGGTTTAGCAATAATAACTCTACAAAACAATATTCATTAACTTTTCCCCCCAAACTCACTCTTCTTTCCAACTTTCTGCTAAAAGTACCACCATCCTTCCATTCACCCAGTTTCTTGATATAGGTGTTATTTTGAACCACTCACTTTCTATAACCCCACGTATTTAATTGGTTGCTAAATATAGTTTTATATTATCTCTATTTTTAAAATGTAGGCTAATAGATTTAATAAGCATTATGGTTTGCGAATTGGAAATTCATGAGTCTCCTAATATTAAAAGAGAATAAATAAAAATAAATGAGTATAAAGTAA